TAAAACATTTAAAATAATCCTCTTTAATATTTAGTAACCCTAACTCTATCTAAGTGTAGTTTTCCTTACAAATTATATAGTAATTTAACTAAGGTAAAAGAGGTTTTTTTTTTTTTTTTTTTTTCATTTTATTTTATTTTATTTTATTTTTATTGTGACAAATTAAGGGAGAGGGACTTAAACACAGACACTAAAAAAGTTGGGCCCTCTACCAACTAAATCACTGGAATTAGCCCAAATTAAAATAGAATAAAATTGTGAAATTTTTTTTGACTTTAGATATAACTCAATGTGCCATTCCCCATATATGTCCATGAGTTCATGACTAACTAAACCTTAATTTTGATTATTATCAGGGGAGCGCATGAAATGTTACATCCGTTAAATTATAGAGGAGGCTTCATTCTTTTGCTTCGAGTTTAGAGCAAATTTTAGATACTAATTTTTAAAATTTAGCTCAAGCTCAAGTAGGTTTGCTAGGAATTTGTGAAGTCTTCTTCCTTTTGTTTGAGTTGTTATATATATATTTAAAACCTCAATCATGGCATGCATTAGTTCCCAAATAGTCAAATTGGATTTAAAGCAAGAATCATGGTTTGTATATATACACACATATAATATATGTGGATTAATCTGTATTAAAATGCAACTTACATGAATTAAAAAAGACCAAATTATATGAGCTTGGTTTGGTTTTCTGTTCAAACCTTTAAAAGTATAGAATATTTTGATGGATTGTGGTACAAAGACCACTGATCTGACGGGTAGTCGGTCAGCTTCAGTTGTTTGTTAAATGATTTACTTATCAGAAGTTTTAAACAAAATTTTGAAATAGGAATTCTATCTTAAATTTTGAGTAAAATTTGGGCTGAAGTTTTAATCTGAGATCAATCTATCCTTAATTTGTATGCCGGCTTGAATTGGGACTTATAACTGGGACTGAAATTTTGAATTGAATTCCAAATTAATATTTCGATTATTACAATAACAAATGAAATAATAATAACTTTTTCACACCTAAATTAATTAAAGATATTGGTATGACATAATAATAAATAAATTTAGGTACATATCTTAGATATCAGGTTCATTGTTTGAGTTTCTTTGGATTTCATGAATTCGTGTTTAACTTCGAATTGTTCGATAAAATAACCCGAACTAAGTCTAAAATGATCGAAACCGGTTATTATTTTCCAACCCAAATTCAGACGGAATTGTAATATACCTAACTCAAGTTCAAAATAATTCGAACCGGGTTCGGTTTGGTTCAAAGTAGGGTTCACCTAGTTGCACCCTGATATATGCACACAGACACGAAGGATAAAAATGGAAAATGATGAACAGTGGGGTTTTATTGGAGTCAAAAAAGTTTTTTTTTTTGGAATTTTAAGCAAATATAGGAGTCAAAAAGTTAAAAAAGAAAGGAGGAGCTGAATTACATAGCCGGTGAGGGTGGAGGGCGGCTAGTGAAGTGGACGCATACGACGACGGTGTGGTCGGCCGTGGTCTCCCAATCATGCGGCGGACCGCATCATTAAAGTCATGAGACTCCTGTGGTCCCCACCATCATCTCCTAACCAAACTCTCTCTCTCTCGTCTTCATATGAGTTTCCTTAGCGTAACCAGCAAAAGGGAGATCCTAGAGGTCCCATGTGGATCTTAATTCACATTGACATCGACCCCTCTCCAAACACACACACACACACACACACACACACTCTCTCTCTCTCTCTAATTCAGAATTTAAGTTAGTTATGCTTTTTTTAATTTATGGTTGATGGAGATTGATATATAAAGAGAAATTAATCAATATAAGTTATTATTTCTGTTCGAATCAATGGTTTTAATCAATCTCTTAAACTTCACTCCTGTGCCTCCACAGTTGCACTCTCTTTATATTAAGGTGTGAAACACAAGCCTCGTTACTGGGGCATCTAATATGATTGCACCCCTAGTAGGTTGTAGTTCTAGCTTTTGATTCATTGTATATATATACACACACTTTCTAGATCATAACAATGCACTGAAAAATACCATGATTGAAAATTATAAGACTTTTAGGCGCGTATTATGAATTTGTTTGCTACCCATTTCTAGATTTTCTGTAAAAACAAACACACTTTTTAAGAGTATTATTTTCATTCTATGAGATTATCATGATTGACCATCATGTAAATTAGAGTGCCTATCCCAGTGGCTAAGTAATGGATCAATATATATCACATTCTCAAAAATGGTTGCATATATATATATATATATATATATATATTCGTGTTAAGTGTTGATCATATATATGAAAATAGAAGTTTGAAACAGAACAATTAATTTTGGAGAATGTTGGACCATATATCTAATGCTATGAGGTGTAACATTGAAGGAGGAGAAGGTGGAGGGAAAAGGAAGGAAGAATAAGTAAGTACTAATGAAGTGTCAGAGATTGGGATGATTTCTATACTAGTACTCTACAATCTAGTTGCAGAAATGGCTACATAACATAAACATCAATATGGAGTTAATTTTCATGTCACTTTCAATGGACCATATTGACCACAACATATAGAAATTATGGTATGACCAAGCAAGAACATTTCTTTTACGCGATATGCATTGATTGGCCATTTTCTGCTTATTCTTGTGAGTTCAAAGTAGAAAATGCAGTGTGTGATTTTGAAATGGAAGTGATTGAATTGCAACATGAAAAATTAGTGGTGGTTTTGTGGGGGGTGCATGAGTGATGATATGGTATTGATTGAGATGGTTGAAGAAGAAACAGAAGGCATGATGGTCACAGGTGAGCTGAGGGGTCCTGCAATGAAGATGATGGAGATAGTGGTCTCTGATTGGTTGGCTTCGATCGACCGACGTGTCCACGTGTTAATGAGAGATTAATATTTTTTCTTAGGGTTTCAGTGGGGGATGGGATCCAAATTCAGATCAATGATAACACGCTTAAAATTGACAGTTCTGATATGTTGGTTTGTGTTGCACAGACAGACATGCCTCTTTGGATGTTGTTGGATCCAACTTTGCCTAGCTCTTTAGCTTCATAAGCAATGTGTTTTTTTTTTCTTTGTCAAAAAGTATGATTCTTTTTTCATTACCTTTTCCTCTCCCTTTTTGATTTTTTGGTAATTAGCCAATTAAAGGGCTTTCTTTCAGCATTTGGATATCACACCTGTCATGTAAACTTAGTTACATTATTTTGTTTCATAATTGGTCATATTTTAGGACCATCTGTCTTCTTCCAATTGGAAGGTTACTTCAAAATCTCGCGTTGTAGCTGAGATTCGTTTTTGTATTTTGTACAATAGAGAACGACTGTGATCAAAGTAGTTAGTAGAAGATTCAGTCTCTTTGCAGTGAACCCTTTAAAGGAATAGCTAGAAATTCAATTGTTTGTTTTTGTTTTTCATGGACCCGAATCCCCTCTTGTGCAAAAACGGTGTCATTTTAGGTCACAACAGAGTTCAACACAAGGCCTGCACTGAGTTTCGTACCAGTGCACAGTATCATTTTGATGCATATGACTAGCACAGATCCCCTCCGTACAAAAGGAGATCCTCTTCCGTTTTTTATAAGTATATAAAAGCACAAATCCCTGATTTAAGTTCAAATTTTTTTTTTTTTTTTTTTTATCTCGATAAAAGTGGACAAATTCTTCATTGAAAATGGATTCATTAACAAATTTGAAACTTTAAAAACATAAACAATGATATTTCATTGAATCCTAAATAAAATTTCACACCTCATCTAAAATGCAGTTGAAACATAAGGCACTGACATCTCTAATGTATCATGAAAAACATAGTGTAGTGTGATTCATTTCATTGAGGTGTGAGATCCCACATATAAATAATTACCTGTTTAGTGATTGCTTCTATGGGTTTCCTTTCATATCTTTTTCAGGGCCCATATCTAATTGGGTTGATAAGCAATACTTGATCTTCTTGATGAACGTGGGGTTTAATTACCGTCTGATCTTTTTGTAGGTATAATGTCAACTACAAGAATTTCTAGAAGTTGAATGAGATTTAATCATCTCCAAATTTATCATAACAATAATCTTTGGTAAGCATTGTACTCTATGCTCACTTTTTGGTTTGGAAACTTATTGCTTTGTGCACGAAGAGCTTTGATAATTACAATGATAAAAGTGAAAATTATTTTTGTCTATTACTTCATATCCCAAACTTGATGAAGATTTATTGAACGTTAAGCTTTGGTTTAATTGGCTTCTTCATTAATTATATTGATTGCTGGTAAGGCTAGTCATGCATAGTCTTTACAAAATTATAGTTTCTGTCTGCTTGATCATTCTAAGGTTATTTTATTTGTTGTCACATTGACATGAACAACACAAAAAAAAACGGTTGATTGATAGCATTCCAAAAACTTTTTCATGTAAACATTGCTAAATATATTATTATTATGGTTCTTGAAAACTATTTTCAATTGCAACGTGCTAAAACAGAAGGCATGTGAGTAGAGGCGTGACCCCCATCATATGATATTTGAATCATAACGTCCTATTATAACTTTTTTTCTATTTTGTTACGTGACATCTTTTTCAGAATACATTGCAAACTCTAAAATTTCATGATTAGATTGTATTTATTTTCATAGATATATTTAATAATTAATATTGTATATATATATCCGAGAGCCTTTTAGAACACCCCATAATTTATCACCCCCAATCCCACATGCACCAAACACGGCAAAATAATCAAGGAATTAACTTAGTAACTGGTATGATGTTACAGTTGAGGAAGAACATAAATTTGTGTTGTTTACACGGGAAAGAACGGGTGAGAGAGTATTTTAAAAGCCCATTTAGAAAGCCCAATCACCATTATCGTCCAAAACTTGTTGGATCAGCTTAAATTAACAATAAGGCCCAATCACCATTAAGGTGTAGGCCCAATAAGGCCCATAAACAACACATTCCAGATGAAAAGGCCCATTAACCGCACATTTCAGCAAAACACGAACCTAGTAAATGAGAGTGTCCATTCTATTGCTATTGTTTGTTTGGTTACCCAGAAATTACGAGAAAAGAAAATGAAATCCTGTATTTGTGATTTGATTACGTTAAATAAAAGACCTCGTCCAAAACTTGTTGGATCATCTTCGAGCTCGTTTGTGGGTTTCAGTTGGAATGGCTATTGGAGCGTCTACGATGGTAGTTCAGGTAGTCATTACCTCCACATGCTCCTCCTCTGTGCAATTTATTAGGTTTACACTTTAGAACTTCTATTTTTACTGTTTTAATATAATCTTTTTGAATTACTATGAAAATTATGATGCTATTTACTTTGTGTTTCTTTTAATGGAAACTTGAACTCGAAAAAGCAATTGTTCATGGTATCTGATGAAGCCACGAGTTAGGGTATTTCGACTGTTGTGAAGCAACGCTATGAAAGAATATGCATTCTATTATTTGATGATGGATCATTTCTAGTGGCATATTATCTAGAAAGTGCATTCCCAATAATAAAATTATGGACTTGTATCAACACTTTAATTGGTTATATGGATTTTACTATTTGAATAAATGCAAGATTTAATGCTCCACATGGTTGGAAATTGTCAATGCAACCGGTCGTTTAAAATATTTTAGACAAAGACAAATTGAATATTTTAAGTTATGTGCTAACAATTTTTTTTTTTTTTTGGTGGTAAATTGATGTGCTAGCTTCTTTTTATCCGGGAGATCATTCCTTTTGTTTCTTTTTTCCCCAAACCTTCGATTTTGATATATTTTTACACAGTGGGTTATTTGTTTTTTCACTCGTGTTGCCTTTGGAAGCACCAAATCGGGGCCTATAATTGGAATTAAAGGAAATTTTGTTCAAGTCTTAGCTTTTGGAATTGCATCAATGCTGAGGCAATATCCTGTCTGGAGGTGGAACAATAAAAGCCAATAAATGTTATTAGCAACTTTCATTTTTGTTATGATGGTACAGTATTTTTATAGGTTGTTCACATGGTCATTTAGTTTCCTTAAGTTAATTTGGTTGTAGAAATTAGAGGGTAGGAAAATTTAGGCCCATAATTTCCTCAACTCCAAGACCATAATATCTGAGGCCTTGATGTACATTCTTCTTTTTTCCTTCCTATTTTCACATTTTCTTCAATTTGAATCAAATTACTCTTTATTAGCAGTGCAGACCAAAAACTATGTTGCACCTTGAAGTGTGTTGTTCAGCTGGCTATCACAATCTTTTGCAAATTTGCGGGACGTAGGCTAGTTGAACCTCAGCTATATTCCAGTCAACTAGTTATAAACCATCCTCCATTCACACAAGCACTATGACAGGTGTGGGACTGAGTATTAATATTTTCTGTCTTCTTTTTTACTCTCGGGAAAGAGCACACACTCGCTTTGGTCCTATGTAGAGTTCAGCTCTCAACCTTTCACTTGAAAAGTAGAGGAGATTCTACAAAGTTACAATCCTTGGTGATAGGTATTAATATCATGTAAGTATTAAAGGGGGAAAAAAAAATTCATGAGATAGTAATTGAATTTCTTACAATATTGCACACAACTTTATTAAAGCTAGATCATACAAGCTTAAAAGATTCTTATTTAAAAATCCAAACTAAATAATCATTTTATCATCGAAGATGATACATTCCATCATCATCGTGGATACAAATTTATTATTACAACTACATAGTTTGTGCCATTATAGAAACTATGCAATTACTTCTTCTAACCTCTTCAGACTATCTTTGTACCTGTAGCATTACGACATTCATTAGCGAAAAGAGAAAGTAGAAGTGGTCAACAATTTCTTTTTGGAATCAAATTAAGGATGATGGTGATAATGATGACATTAGATTGAGTATGTACTTAATACTCGTCATATATATATATATATATATATATATATGAGAGAGAGAAAGAGAGAGCATAAATACCATTGACGAGCTTGGTGCATTGTTCATGTGAACATTAATGGTATATGGAGGTCCACGAGAGCCACATTGATTCACACAATTCGCAGCGCACATCTCAGGAGTCATGAATGGTTGTAGGGCGCAAGAAAAGAAACAATTTTTGTAGCAGTCTGCCATTGCAAAGGGGATTATTTCATTTCTCTTGAGCATCAATATGAACAACATGAATACAATCTTCCAGACACCTTTCCACTCCATGCCCCTCAAATCTTTCTACAAATCTATTTTACCTTGAATGACACAAAACACCATTCAAAGGACTTCTTTTATAGGTCAGATGCCCTTAAAAGGTATTTAAAACCATTAACAGTTTTTTCATTTATTTATAAGAATTAATTGTTCAAACAAGCACTTAAATGCGGTAATAGAAAGTTTGAAATTTCTTAATCTCTGATTTTATCTTTTCTGAAGATATGAAAGAATAACAAAGCAATTCTATCCAGGTCACCAATAAGATTTGGTATAAATGGAGAACTCCAGAGATTCAGGATAAAAGATTTAGGGGCTTTGGCTATAGCCGAACACGAGGGAAAGATCATTTATACCGATACTGACTAGATAGATCTTTCTTCTATATCTCCTTTCAGCCAATGCTGTTTCCATTTTTTTTTCCTACTTCTTGTTGCAGCGCCAGGTGCCCTAAAGTTCGTTCGTGCATATTTTTATGCATTAGATATTCAATTTTAAGTACTATTTATTTTTACTAAAATGAAAAGCTCCTTGTATGTAAAGGTGCAATAACTTTTCGTGGGAACATTTCGTTTAGTTACTACACAATGTATTTAATGTCTATCACTTTCTAAAGTAAAAAATTATAAACATTGCTCAACTCTAAGTCGCCATTTTAATTTCATATTTTGTACAACTCTATTAATTGGGTTCTTGATAGTACGAATAATATTTAATGCATTGTATGGTTGATCAAGATGAGTTACTTAATGATTATAAATTTTTCTTTCTAGTCTTCTAAAAATAAAAGGAAATAATGCAAAAGCCACAATGCAACAACAAATATTTGTCATGTTGTTCCTTTAAGAAACTTTGGCTATTTCTTGCGGGCGAGGATAGTACCTCAGGTACAAAGCCTTTAATGGGTGTCCAATATGGGCTTGGTGGGCTAGTTGAAAATCTTTTGTCCAGTAGCTCAAGCCACACATACTAAGATGCAGTTGTTCTTGTCTAGGATTAAGAAATTATTGTCCTTGATTATATAGATGTGTTTCTGTTCACTATTGTCAGTTGGATTTCGACATATACATAATAATGATATTGTATTGCAGACACAGGAAGTGGAGAGAGGGTAAAATTAGAAGGTTAAGGGACTCGGGAATGACAAGTCTAGGGTGAAGTCTTACAAATGTTATGTTATTCTGTAATACAGCAAACAAATATTGCATTGTGCGCGTATCTTTTTTCTTAGTTGGTACCCCTCCCCCCCTCTCAAGGAATTGTTTGCACCCAAGTGGGCATTGCACGCGTATGAATTAAGACAAAAAAAATGTTTCGGGGGGGTGGTGGGCGGGGCTGTCCTGATAAATTGTTGTATGTTGCGTCTCCCAAGATTCATAAGAAATTTCTTCTTTCTTGCTTCATGACAGGCTTAGAATCAGCTTCTATTCCTGCAATCTGGTCTATTAGGAGTTTCTAATGGAATTCATATGCATGGAAAATGGATCTCAATATTACCTGATGGAATGGTTAATTCTCAGTTTCTCACATATATATGTATATATATTTCTGTTGTATATATGGTGCATCATGTTCTTATTGGATGTTTTTTCAGCCATTTGTTGAATTTGTTTGTTTTTTTGTTTTTGTTTTCAACTCAACTCAGCAAAGGTTATCATAACCATGTTTGGATGATCATTAATACCTTGGTTCAACCAATGTTTGTGTAGAACATACCACTGACTATTAAAATGTTCGATAAATTTAGTTCCATAATAAAATGTTCCACTTCTGAAGTTCGATTGTATTTTTATAGAGCTAATGCGAAACAGTCAAAGCTTTTTGTCAGAATGATACTCATTCTCATGCTTGCTGAAGCACTGTCTCTCTATGACCTTATTGTTGGCATCGTCCTCTCTTCCTATGCCATCCAATCTAGAGCGGATTAAAAAGAAAGGGTGTCCTCCCTGGTTATTTTGTGTGTGTTGGTGTCACCTTGCTTAATCCCTGGTTCGTTATGCTAGTTCAAAAGGTCAAAGGTGCATTTCCTCTCTTTTTATTGTCCTGCAAGTAATTTTATTCACTGTGTCGGTACTTTATTCTGTGCTTACTGAAATACGGGGAGTAAAGTCTTGTAAAGCTGGCTTTGTTTATTTGTTTATTGCTGTATTTTACAAATATAGCTCCTTAGTAGCATAGGACCGATCCCACTAATTTGGTGCACATGACAGAGGTAACTTTTAAACCTTAATTTATGCACCACTAATGGCGGAAGACTTGGAATGTCATTAATTTATGTTTCACTAATGGTTAAAGTTTTGGAACATCTTGTCAGTCGTGTAATTTTTAAATGACAAATCTTCATCGATTTTTCTTTGAATTCATATATGCAAGCTACATGTGAAAGGTAAAACATTATAGTTTATGATTTTGATGCTGACATGGTCTTGAGGAAACAAAATGTTCAGTAAACATTTAGAAATGGTGCATGGAAACTTTCGAATTCACAGAAAAATAACAGTAGGCCTAACCATTGTTTGTTTATAAACTCAATCAGTGGATTGAAAGAGTTAGACAAATGAATGTTCAAGACTGGTGAGTGAAAAAATGATCTGTCTTTTGGCCCTATCATGGTGTGTTTTCAGACCCACCCATCCATACATGTGTTTTTTTTTGTTAGGCCCGACCATTATATTGAAAGAGTTACGTACCATACTACAAACACATGAATGTGAAAATAAGAGTTCATAGGAAAATGTCGCGAAAGGGAATACTTTGTGAACTTGCTTTCGCGTTGTTTTGCAGGATAAAGAGTGCGGTTGGGAATTTGGGATGTAGATGGATAACATGCTGTACTAATACATTTTGGTGAGTATTTCTGTTTGTGTTGAAATGTTTGTTGTTTTATTTCTAATATACATTCTGTGAATTAATTTAATAGGAATATATAAAAATCAGTTTATTCTATACGTGAAATGAAATTGCGTTTCTTTTCTGAAAGAATTGGAGTCTATTATTCTCCTAGCCATATAAAATCCCATATAAAAATTGTGTTTCATATGAATATAATTATTTGACTTTTTTGCTAATGAATCAATGTTTAGCTGGGCTCTGAGTTGGGCTTTGCCCAACCCAGGTTCGAACTATTACTCAAACGGGTGGGCTTTGAGTTGAGCTAATCCCAATCCAAGTTGAAAATCCAACTCACACGGTTAACGCTTAGCTGGGGAGTGTCGGCTGAGCTTGGCATCAACATCAATACCATCAAAGCTATTAATTAATGAAGCCAAGCATAATGTTTCATACATACAAGACAAAGAGAAGGATGCTTAACGGTCACTTGTTCATAATAATAATACTATAATATGTCTCTACTATTGGAGGGGGAATTTATTTGGTTTTGGAGGGGGAATTTATTTTACATTTTTAATGATTGAGTACCGTCTATTCAACTCTGTTGTACGGATTTAAGGGTCAACCTGATGATGTACAAAACTCAGAATATGATCCAAACTCTAATTTCTGTTATGAGCCGTGATATTTAGTTTAGAGGGAATTGTCGAATAGAATAGTTTTTGATCGGAAATGAATAGATATTGGGTGAGGCATGGTGTACTGGTTCATTCAAGCTGAACGTGTTGTGCCCGTACGATTCGGATGAGTCTGATCACACCCGATACCTTTTGAAGGTAGTTGTAGGTCTCACTTTTTTATATTTTGCCTATTATAAGCCAATTAAAATTTTGCAAAACTAAATATATAGCAAGTGCTCACACAATTAATTTTCATTATAAGCCAATCTAACAACAAGAGCAGTGGTTACAGCTTTTAATAGATCAGGAATTTAAATGTACTTTATAAAACTGAGTTGCAAAAGTAAAATAGTAGGTGAGAGTTTTTATGCAATTTACTCCATTAATAATTTAGTTGGATTTGCATTGAACATTACTACTCCCATCAGAGGAAGTTTTTAAAATTTTCAATGCAACCCAAGCCCATCTAGTAATAAAAACAAACTCCTCAAATATCTTCAAACACTCAATTAGATAGATATGCATTGAATTATTCATGCTAAACAGACAACCTTCTTTTTTCTTTTCTTTTTTCCCCTTGGAAACTACTGTATCTTGTAAAAAAAAAACATAAACTTGGGCTCATGAAACAAAAATTATTAGATAATAAAACAAATCGAAAATAGAAAACGCCCAAACAAACCCACAAAAAGTACTAAAACTAATCAGTTGGTGGGTCACCAATCCATAGCTGATAGATAGTACCAGTAATAATTTTATCTCTACAAAGTACAACAAACACATTATCCTCTTCAGATCTCCATGTCCTCTTGCTCTGCCCGTTACCATGCGCTTATTGTACCAGGTGTGCTCGCAACTAATTATGTGAGTGAGCAGTGCTTGGATTCCAACATTGCCACAATGACCAAAACAGAGAGGAGACAACACCTCTCATTCCATGTCGCAATATCGTTAATTATGTTTATTTATGCGTGTGTATATATTTAAAATAAATAAATAATAGTCGTAATAAGTGCGGGATTATCCAAAAAAAGAAAGGGTCTAATTGTCATTTCCAACTAAATAGATAGCATGTGCTTAGATGAGGTATCAAAATGTACTTGGGTAAGTGAGATGCAAAAGTGGGAAATAGTTGGTGAGATTTTTTTGCAATTTACTACAATAATAATATGGATGGATTTGCATTAAATATTTCCATCCAAACTCAATCTGACAAAGCATGTATATAAAATCTCCAATCCAATCAAGTCCAACTCAAAGGAAAAATAAAAACACATGTTTAAAGACTCAATTGGATTTGCATTGAAATCTTCTTGCTTACCCACATTGCACCCCCTAACAAAAGCTTTATCCACAAAAACAAAAACTAGAGTATGAAAAACATAAACTTGGGCTCATGAAACAAAATATTAGATGACAAAACAAATTGCAAAAATAAAAAACAAAAGCCCTGACCCACAAAAAGTTCAAAAATTAATCAATTGGTGGGTCACCAACCCGAATCATAGTAATAATTTTCTCTCTGCAAACACCCCCCTATCCTCTTCGGATCTCCATGTCCACTTGTTCCGCCTGATCCGGTGGGTCCTCTGAATTACCCGATACCTGTCTTCTTCCTCCTGTTGCATCTCAGGGCATCAGAAAACCCCACGTGGCGGCAGGACAGGCCAAGTGGTCCTGCCACTTGTACCCCCACCATTAACGGCTATATTTTTCACTGCTATAACCCACGTGACTCTATCACGTCACTCCTCTGGTCCCTTGGCGGGAAAAAGTAGAAAAACAACACTGTGGACCCCACCATCCTACTCTTTCGTCCGCTTAGATCGCGGACCTGTCCCCGTCGTTGACTAAATAAACAAACTTTGAAATCTTCCCTCTTTGTGGGACCCAACAAAGCTCCGGCGGCCAAAACAAACCTCTATTGGTAAAAAAAAAAAACAAACAGAGCTACTAAAAAATTACAACTACTCCTAAAATTGGGATTTAAAATGATAAAAACATTAAAATAATGTTAAGACACGTTGATGTCACGCCGGCGAGGGCTGAGAGGTGGGATCGGCCGACGACGGGATATCGGGGCCGGCACGGCAACCTTCGAGCATGAAGACAATGTCGGACATGGTGGGACGGTCGAGTGGATCCGGAGCTGTGCAGAGCAAGCCGACTTTCACACCCAGCAAGAACTCTTCCCACTCCGACGACTCAGGGTCTAGCTCAAGAAGTCCCGGTTCAAGAAGCTCTGAAATTTGACCTCTTTGAAGCTGTCTCTTCACCCACTTCACTATATCCTCATCTTGTGTGAACATCACTGGTCTCTTCCCTGTTAATAGCTCAAGCAACACTATGCCAAAGCTGTACACATCTGATTCTTTAGTGGCCTCCCCTGTTAATGAAGCTTCTGGTGATACATACCCCAAAGTCCCCACTGTGGTTGAAGTGGAGGGTTCTGTTGAGGATTTGATCATGAACCGATCGAGCCCGAAATCGGAGAGATGGGCTTCGAAATCGGCATCAAATAGGACGTTTTGGGGCTTCACATCTCCGTGAACCATGGCAGCTGTGTGTAAAAAGGCGAGGCCGCGGGCGATTCCTAGTGCAATTAGGTGTCGCATTGCCCAATTGAGAACATGACCATCTTGGTGAGATGCTTCTTGGAGGAGTGTTGCGAGGTTTCCATTGGGCATGTAGTCGTAGATCAGGAGTCTGAGGTCAGGTTGTCCGGCGTAGTAGCCGCGGAGGACGGTTAGGTTGCGGTGCTTCACTCTACCTAGTGATTCAGCTTCTTTTCTGAACATGTTTTCCTCCAGTGATCCGTCCGGGAGTCTACGGATTGAGAGCACCATTCCATCGTTGTAGGAAGCCTTGAAAACCAACCCATATCTAGTTCTGCCTAGCACATTTTCCTCATCGAATTGCCTTGTTGCTTCTATTGTTTCGCCGAGTGTAATCTTGTTATTGAACATAACAAGCTTTGGAACCCCATTATCGCTGCTGCCACGGCCTCCAGTACTTGCTGCTGAACTTGCCCTTGGACTCGGTTTCTTCTCTCCAGCAGCAGCTTCTTTGAGCCTCTTGCGCCACCTCAGGAGACTGAAAATGTAAAAGCAGCAACACAATGCCATGAGGCAAGCTCCACCAGCAGCCGTAGCAATCAACAAAATTAGCCTCTTCCTCCTCTTACCAATATTAGTCTCCTCACATTTCTTGTCCAATGGCTTCCCACATAGACCGGGATTACCTGTGAACTCCGAAGAATTGTTGAATCTAGAACCCAGCATCAATGGAATCTCACCCTCGAGGTTATTTTGTGATACATTGAAGTTCACTAGGGTAGATATGTGTGAGAGATTTGCTGGAATCTCCCCACTCAAGTTGTTGGCAGAGAGGTCCAAGGTGGTGAGGTTTGACAAATTGGACAATGAATCCGGTATGGTGCCTGAAAGATAATTAGAGTCTAAAACAAGGGAAGTAAGCGACGAGCATTTTGAAATTTCTTCCGGGATTTCACCTGTTAAATTGTTCTTACCCAAATCAAGCTCTTTCAAATGGGAAAGTCGAGAGAGATCATCTGGAATTTGGCCACTGAAAGAGTTTGAATGAAGATTCATAATTTCAAGATCAGAACAATTGCCTAGCTCGGGAGGAATCGAGCCAGATATATGGTTGTTAGACAATGAGAGAACAACTAGTGACTTGAGGAAGCCAAAGGTGGAAGGAATGTGACCAGAAAAGGCATTGGAAGATAGGTTCAAGTAGCGCAAGCTCAACAAGCTGCTCAAACCTTCAGGAACATTCCCAGATAACTTATTTTCTTGCAAAGCAATCACTTGCAAATTAGGCAAACCAGCTAGATCAAACGGCAGCTCACCGGAGAGATTCTGTTTGCTCAGATCGAGTGTGGTCAGCCTGTAAAGAGTTCCCACAGTTGCTGGAATTGTACCCGAAAACCCATTCCCACTCATATTCAGAACTGATAGCTGCCTCAATTTCCCAACATTGATTGGAACTCCGCCGGAAAACTTGTTACCGCTGAGGTTCAATGTGGACAGATTGCTCAATCCCATTAACTTCTCCGGCAATGCTCCGGTCAAACTATTATCCATCAAATTCAGGGTTTCGAGCTGCGTAAGATTACCAAAACTCAAAGGAATTGAACCGGAGAATCGATTTCCACCAAGTGACAGCACCTTCAAACCTCTAATCTCACTGAAAAATGCCGGAATTTCCCCGGTGAAGTGATTTCCTTCAAGATCAAGAACTCGCAAAGCAATGCATCTCTTAATCTCAGGTGGAATCACACCGTTCAGCGAATTATTCGCCATCTTCAATTCCTCCAATCTCCATAAATTTCCGATTTCAGCTGGAATCGTACCTGAAAATGAGTTATCCGAAACATCAAGCATTGTTAATGAGGAAATGTTGGTCAACCACAAAGGAAGCATGCCATTTATCTGATTCTGTTGAAGATTCAAAATTTGCAGAACACTAGAACACGTTGCTGTATCAGGCGAAGCAATGTCCGTGAACGCATTAAAACCTAACTGCACAATCCGAATGGATGGAGGATATACAGATACGTTACAGAACATTGAAGAGGGGATAGAACCAGAGAGTTTATTGTGTGAAAGAGATATCACTTGAAGCTTTGGAAGTGAACCAATCGCTCCAGGAATCACGCCTTCTATGGCGTTACCTTCGGCACTGAAATGAACCAGCGAAACACAGTTCGTGATTGCGGACGGCAATGTCCCTTCCAAACGGTTGAAATCGAGCCAGAGAAACTGAAGCTGCTGGAGCTCACCGAAGCTCGCCGGAATCTCGCCGGATAACTGATTGTACGACAGATTGATTAGCAGAATCTTCGATGAGGTCGAGAAGTTTCTCGGCAGGCCACCGGAGAATGAGTTAGACGAGAGATCAATGTAGCGGAGACTTCGAGGGAGGTCCCCGGGGACATCGCCGGAGAGTTGGTTTCCGGCGACGTTGAGGATTTGGAGGCCGGCGAGGGCAGATATTTCCGGCGGGAGGTTGCCGGAAAATGAGTTGTATTGCAAGTAAAGAGAATGTAAGAGAGCGCATTTGGAGAGAGAAGTAGGGATTGTACCGTTGAAGAAGTTGGAGCGGAGGCTGAGCTTGCGCAACATGCGCAGGTTAGAGATTTGCGCCGTGAGTGGGCCGCCGAGTTGGAGGCGAGGCAGGTGGAGCTCGTCGACCCGGCCGTTGTAGCAGGTGACGCCACGCCAGTCGCATGGAGCCGACGGCGTCGACGAATCCCAGCCGTTGAGGACTCCAAGTGGATCGTGGATATTGATTTTGAAGGAGGCAAGGGCTTCGATCTCGGCTAGGGTTTCGGCGCTGCGTTGGGCACAGGATAAGAAGGGGGCGCAGAATAGTAAAAGGAAGAGAAAAGCCATCCTCGCCAATGAAAATTCTGGTGGAGGCGGCATTGTAAACTAGCCCAGTTCAATCATTAGTGATGAATGGGTGGAGTTTACGAGCTGCGCAAGGCCAGCGTAGGTTAGCAGGGACCTCCAGGGACTGGTAGTGTTGGCAGGTGAGAACTACAGAGGGGTTTGGCCATATGTTGCGCCACTGTGCGCATGGGTCACACACCCACACAACACCTCCCCCTCTCTATTTCTCTCTCTAAGATTCCTCCTCCCAAAAAAAGCCTTTGAAAGAGCAGTTTTGAAACAGGGCATAGAGAGTTGTGGGTTGGCACTTTTTAACCTCATATGGGTTGAATGATTGAATTGAAGTTAAGCCCTGTGTGATCTTATTTTTATTTGACTTGGTTTAAAAACTCTGTGAAAAACCCTATTCACACTGTACTTGTTGGCTGTGACCATGAACCATCACAGCTCCATTTATAACCATTACTTCCAATAAAGTTTTGTATTAATGTGGTGGTCCCACTTTAATTACCTTCATTTGTCAATAAACCCAAGCTGTGATAAAGAGTGGTGTGACTGTGATGTAAGGATTTGCAAATAATTTGATTTACTATTTCTTTTACTTCCTCTTTACTCTTTATTATTTTGTCCAATTTTGTGAGTAGACATGTCCTTTTGCACTTTTTCTTTCTGTTTAGTGATAAGATGGTCAATGAGAGGTGCTAAAAATTAAAAAGCAGACAAAACATAATAATCACACATAATGTTTGAATTCAAGTAAGATCTGAAGTTGAATTTTTTTCTTAGAAAAGTACATGAACAAATTTGAGATAAATACTACTAATAGCGAATGTGAGCAATGTGCGGGCAAAAAGATTGTGGTGGGAAATTTTGTTTGCTTTCTTTGGCGGGATTTAACTAAAAACTGTGGAAGTTTAAGATAATTAAAGGTCTGTTTGACATGTTTTAAGCGTTAAATTTTGTATTAATATGAAAATAATAATTTTGTTGTAGGATTATTTTGGGTAAAAATCAAAATCATGGTAACCATTTTTTTTTTTTTTTTGAGAAATTTAAAATTTTGTTTTAATTCATCCGCTACAATATCAAAACACTCAATATCACCAATTTGATGATATGAGTTTTGGCCAAAAAATTTGATATGTTATAAACTATTCTAAATTAATATTAGTCGTCTCAAACATGATATAGGTTCAAATTTAAATATCAATATCAGAAGAATTATATCATGATCCTTTCTAAATAGGCCCTAAGTATATTAATTTAGTTTCTTTCCCTTCTCACTCTTTCATTTTGGATGAAGTACACCAATACTCCCGATTATTTATCTTATTAACACCTAGACAGAACCTAGTCTATTTTTTTATAATGACACTCCCTATCAAATTTTGAATTCAGAAGGAGCCGAATAAGGGTGAAATGTCCAAGTATTCCATTCAATTTTATATTGATTTTTTTTGTAAAATATTACTGTATTGTAGAACAATTAAAAGAATGAAATGTCATTCGTTAGAAAAATTCAATATTAACCACATATTTTTCGTACTTAGTTTTTTTTTCTTCCTCACTTTTTTAGATGCCCCCAAAACTATCAACAACCTCTACTTGCCATTGCTATTAGGGGTGATAATTCGTATTCGTGAGTTATAATCTTGTCGTGTCGATGTAAGAGCATTATATTAAATAGATAAATTCAAACCCAACCCATTTAATAATCGTGTCAAGAATTCTCAACACTAACCCAACCCGTTTATTAAATATGTAAATGTATTAACCCGTTTAATGACCTGTTTATCAAAACGGGACATTTAATATTTAATCAAATACTAAATAATAGAAGAAAAAAAATTGTCACAATTAACCCAAATATTCAAAATAAGAAGAAAAATCGTAAAGCATAGACAAGGTTTATGTTAAAATGACTTAACTATTCGTTGTAATTTGATTTAAATAGGTAATATATTACATAGGTCGTATTTACGATTATAATATGTTGAGTTAAATGGATTATAAACGGGTTACACGGGTTGAACCCTTCAATCCTAACCCGACATAGTTAAGTAAACAGGTTAATTGTGTCAATCTTTTTATGATTCAACCCTAAAACCTTTTAACTCGTGTTGTGTTGTAATTTGTCATCCCTAATTGCCACCTCCACCAACGCCCATCCTTCTCTCTCCACTTGCCACGCAACCTCCACCCCCACAACCACTGCCCTGCATGCATCGCTGTGTCGGAATCTTGGTATGGACTGCCATAGTCAGAGAAGCCATCTCATGGCTTCTTAACTATTGAATGACCTCCTAAAATCCCTCAACTCGTAATGTTCCATTCTACTCTCTCACAATTTGGGATATAAATATGTATATTATGAAGTCTATGGATTTTATACTTCCACTTTGTTGTAATGAAATTAAGAATTCAAGGTTCAATAAAATTGGGGTTTTGCTAATTTAAGGTTTTTATTTCGTTTTGAATCTGGTGGCGATGTACGCATGTCTACCTAATCACACAAATACATATATATATATATATATATATATACACAACCTCAAAGATTGACTCAAGTAGATAAGAACTTGCTCTCGGTGGCTCAGGAAGCATAGATATAAAGTTCAAATACTCTTATGTGCAAATAATTATTTGAAGAGTGTGTGTGAGTATAAAATAAGAAATATATATAATAAATACACACACATGTACACTTATATTCACCTGTGAAGTGGTGGCGGGGGGTGGGGTGCTGTGAAAAATAAGAAGGAAAATAGTGTTTTTGTTTATATAATTGTTGTTGGTGGTAGTGGTGGGTGTGGTGGGGCTGTGAAGTGGTGGTGGTGGTGGTGGTGGTGGTGGTGGTGGGATTGTGAACTTGTGTTGGTGGGTGGGGGTGGGGGTGGGGGTGTGAAGTGTGGTAGTGGTTGGTGTGGGGGGTTGTGAAGTTGACCGTGGGGTTGGTGGTGGTGGGGGTGTGAAGTGGTGCGGTGGGGGTGTGAAATGGGTGTGGTGGTGCTTGATTTATTAGTCTGAAAATATGTTGGTTCCATGTGTGGGGTTGGGATTTCACTTTAAAAGGTATTTGGTCAATTAAAATGAGATGTACATATTGGGCAAATTAAAATTTTAGCGTATCAATAATGTCTTTTCACAATTCAAAGGGCATGTGGGTCATTCTACAAGGTGTCAGAGCATGGTGTAAGATGGAGCAAACCTCAGGGTTCGTGGATAGGGAAGCTGTTTTTGGATATAATAGAGGCAAACCATATAAGGAGTTGGTGTAATTTACCTTTTTATTTTTATTCAAACTCATCCACTCACATATTTATATGGAAACTTAAAATTATGGACCTTTTATATTAAATGGTGAATAATAATTATTGAGTAATTTGGATTACAACATTTGGTCTTTCATTTCTCACTACAAGTCAGTCAAAAGAGTGAATTACAATAGATAATAATAATAATAATAAAAAGGGTGTATTAAAATTAAAACTATAAATGCTTCTACTTTAATGTAATATTGATTAATTATTGTAAAACTGTTAGGATATTATTCAGTAGTTTAATAATCTAATTGGAAGAGCTCCCGAACCAAAAAAAAAAAAAAAAAAAAAAAAAAAAAAAAAAAAAAAACTATTAACATTTTAGGTATAACTTGAGTATTTTTATCTTGTAACACTAGGTTTCCAAATTAAATGAGTTCATAAGTTAAAACTGTTAACATGTTTGGTAAAACTTGAGTATTTATATCTCCTAACACCAGGTTTCCAAATTAAATAAGTTGATAAAGTTAAGGAATGTTGAGTTCTGTATAGAGAGAGTAGAGATCATTTAGAGCTTTAAATCAATTATTAGCACACTAGCACGTGAAATTAATTTTTGGTGGTCCTCCCATTTCACAATAATGAAGCTCTAAAAGTCACCAAACAACTGTATTGTGATCCTTGATGGCAATGCTTCCTCTCTGGAGGTCCAGGCTGATTTAATGGTAATGAATCACAGTTACCATAACCAGCCTGGTTTAGGTTGTGCTTTAATGTGAGAGACCACCTCTTATATACTAATGGTTGTTTAAACAAACTTGAGTCACACAAAACGGGAGTGGTAGTGGGAATGGGAGCCAGTGCGAGGGTAGGTCTAAGTGACACGTAATGGAAAGAGAGTAAAAACTTGTGTGAAGCCTGAATATATTTAAAATGATTGTGTGAATTAGGGCAAACCACACGCGCAAAAGATATTTAAAATGATTGTGTGAATTAGGGGCAAACCACACGCGCAAAAGCAACATCTCTTAATAAGGTAAAGCCCATTGCAATCAACAATCAAACCTAAACCAAGCAAAGTCCAAACAAGCCTTACCAATTGTTGACCAGGCCCAAATGAGAAAAGCCACAAGAAGCAGACCATGAAGGGATTGTAGCATGTCCTTTATATAACACTGTCACTAGTCTTCATTTCTTGGCCCTTTCCTTTTCCATGCACTCACTCATTTATTGAGTAATTTGTGATTGTTAGTTCTATATTTCTTTTAGGACAATGGTTGTGTTCAATCCAGATTTGATGAACTTTGTACAAGCTGCTGATGTGGTCTAATAGAATTAAAATAGATGTTCAAAAGTAAAGTTGGGTTTAAGTTAGGTATTATCCAATTATTCGAGTTTAACCCATTGCTGTGAGAATTTTTTTTTTTTTTTTTTCTCTGACATTTTTCTCTCTCCAAGAAAGACCATCAATGCCGGTTCTGCCAATTCTGTTCAACGCTACCGCGCCATTGCCTCTTTGCTCACTACTTCATTGCTAGTTCATGCCATCATCCGTTAGTCAGTTTTCTGTAACAAAATTTTAGTTCAAAAGACAGAGACACGTGTTAAATAATTCTGATTGCATTGGATTTTGGGCTAGGGTTCGATTGCAGGAATGAATTGATTTTGCTAGATTTGGTGCTAGGGTTCGATTGCAAGATGAATTGGTGGCAGCGTATACATGTTTGATAATGAATAATTAATGTAAGTTTGTTGGAATGGGTTGGTAATGGTGAGAAAGAGAAGCAAATGTTGTGATGGTATTGTGGAATCGGCGAGAACCGGCGTTGATGGTCTTTCTTGGAGAGAAAAATGATAAGAGAGAAAAATAAATAAATAAATAAAATAAACAAATAAACAAACAAATCTCAATCAATTAGTTAAACTGGAATAATTGGGCAATATCTAACTTAAACTTAACTTTTATTTTTGGACATCTGTTTTAAATCTATTGGGCCACATCAGCCGGTTGGATGTCCTTCTTTCTTTTGCTATATTTTAAGCAGTAGAAAAGAATA